TTTTATAGATTACATAATTTTTATGGCTCTAGGCTACATAGATTCCAGCAGAATTTCTCAAGAGCTGATATCAAAACTATAAGTGAATTAACTTTGTTTTCCTTCTTTCTTGGGCCTTTGAAGATACAGTCATTATTTCAGAGTGCACATAATATTTTTCAGAAAAAAATTCTGTAACTTTTTGGATTGACTAATTAGCTGATAAACTTAGTTCCCTAAAGCTAGGGTAGTCTTATATAATAAAAAATAAAGCATCCCTAGGCCCCTATGAAGAAGTCTCCTCATATAGATGACCAAGTCATTAAAGACTAAGGGCTCTTACTTTGTAGGTTCAGTCGGTTAGTAGCTTCTGGGTCATTCTTCTATACTGCCCAAAGATTTTAGTCCCAAATTTGCTGTGTCTGTTGGAAAATTAGATAATACTCTAATTCTTGATGATTTCAACAATCCTGCATAGGTGTTCCTTTCAATGTCTCACTGTAGTCAGTCTATCTTACAGTCTTATTCTTGACCTTGTGCTATTAACAGTTTTACCATCCGTATTCTGTTTGTAGCATCACACACTCTGAATAACACTGCTAAGATTTAATCTACTTTTTTGGGGGGGCTTTTTGAGACTAGGGTCTCGCTCTAGTCTCCAGCTGGCCTGGAACTCACTATGTAGACCAGGTTGGACTTCAACACACAGAGATCTGCCTGCCTTTGCTTCCCAACTATTGGGGCTAAAGGCTTGCACCACTACACCCAGCTAATCTACTATTTCTAATGTTTATAATGCTTCATAGTTCTTTGATCTCCCTGAATGCTATCATCAACTGATCTTACTACTTTTCATTGTCTCCAGTTCAGGGTTTTTTCCTCCCTCCACAGGTTAAATTCCAGTCTTCCCTCTATATATTGGCTTACAAATCCTCACTGAGAAGCTGGCCCACTTCTGAGGGAAACACTTTCTTTTCTCCATTTTTCAATAACATCCCAAACTCTGCTGTCCCTGTCATCTCATGCCACTGCTCACAGACTTCCATTTTCCAGCCTATTTCCTTGAACTCTAATTAGAAGACATCAGTTTCTGTCCTTCTCAGATTTAACTCCTTTCTCCCAGCAGCTTCTGGGATCTCCAGCTTGATGCCTTGATGTTTTTCTTTCAAACTATAGTAACGTTTCCCTTGAGTTTTCTGAATCTTTTTTTTTCTTCTATGAAGCTAAGAATCCAAAAAAAAAAAAAAAAAAAAAAGGAAAGAAAAGAAATTCCCCAATAATAATACAAGAAAACACCGGGGCTGGAGAGATGGCTCAGAGGTTAAGAACACTGGTTGTTCTTGCAGAAGACCCAGGTTCGAATCCCAGCACCCACATGGCAGCTAACAACTGTCCGTAACTCCAGTTCCAGGGGATCCGAAAGCCTCTTCTGTGTTCCGTGGGCATTGCACAACATGGATACACTTACCTACATGCAGGCAATACACTCATACACATAAAATAAGAATAATAAATAAAATATTTTTAAAGAAAAGAAAATACCAAGACAAAAGAAGGGAGTCTCTCAGTGGCACATTGTAAAAAAGTAAATCTGTTAGAAACTAGTCACAGATAAAACTCACCAATTTGTTATATGAATCCCTCTGTTGAAGTCACCAGGCTGACAAAGGTAAAGTCAACATTTTTGTAATTTCAGTCTTTCTTGTAGTTCTAGGGCCAAACTTCTGGCTCCAGCAAACTAACAAGCAAGTGAGGGTTGGCCACTCATCCCAGTATGCCATTTAAAGAGACAAGCGATGGCGAAAGCAGAGAAAGGAGGTTTAATCAATGCACACTGAGAAAAGGAATGGAAAACACGGTCCAGTAAACCCAAGTCATCTTCAGTGTACTAGCAGGGGCTTTAGGTTTAAACAGAAGATAGATTGGGGCGTGGGGCAAGAGATGTGCATAACTGAGCAGTCCAGGGCAAGGTGTGATCCTCCCACCAGTGTCTCAGCTTGGTCCCTGCAAGGTGCTCTGAAGCTGTCCTTGCTGTCATAGCTTGAGCTGAGTGACCCAGTTACAATAGATGACCATTGCTGCAGGGTGCAGACTTGCTATCATAGAGAATTGCCTTTGTGGTAGTTGGCAAACGTGGCATCAAGTGAGGCTTTGCTATTCCTGGAATCTGAGGTTATTTCAGGTTTGGGACAGTGACTCCTATCTTTGTGCCTGAACACTGAAGATGAATCAGATAGCTTAGGTATCATAATGTTTAGTGGAGGCTTTTTGAGTGATTTACATGATCATAAATACTCAGCATCTGACTCAAAGTAAAGGAGACACAGAAAATGAAGACAAATGTCAGGGCTTTTATCCTTCTTTTAGTGACCGTGTGGGGCTAAAGAGTCCATATATCAAAAGCAGTTTCTAAGTATCTATTATAGTTTATTTTCAAATAATCCTTTGAAAGATTCCATTCTTCCAAAACCTTATCCACATAGAACTTCATCTTCAATATCCTAATACTATATTACAGCATCTAAAATTTTAGTGTTCAAATGTATAGCAGCTGGAATACTGGAGTTTATGCTGCTGATCACAACAAATGCCACTGAGTAGAGACAGGAA